CAGACTAAATTCCATAAAGCCTATACTAAATTAAAAACCAGGGGGAGTTTTCACAGAGGCGAATGATCTCTTGAATAAGCATGAAAAGCATTTGTGTTAGGCTAGTAGACTTGCAATTTTTATCATGCAGAGTGGACAAAATAGATAATTTCAAGGATTTTTACTGGCAATGAAGAGTTTCCAAGGCTACCCCCTAAAAGAAAAAAAATTCTTCTAGATAATTTCTGTGTAGGCCTTGCTAAGCTTCATAATTTTATCTAAATAAGCAGTACACAGTCCTCTTTATTGGCTGAGGAGACATTTTTGTTTGCCTGCAGTTGGTCAGCTTAAATTGAAAAGTCACCCCCTTAAGTGCATTACTCCACTAGGAAGGCCCAGTCTCTCTTCCCCCTCTGTAAGAGTGGGTACACTGTGACCACCACCTGCGCACTCCATCTGCCTGAGATGACTGATGCGTGACAGTTTGAGTGGCCTTACTCCCCTTTGCAGGTTGAGAAACCAGAACTGATGGAGCTTTGCCAGTGGAATGGAAGACAGAGTTCTGCAAATATTTCCCTTGCTCTTTGGGAAGAGACTTGGTAAGTGATGACTGTTTGTTCCTTGACATTTCCCTGTCTGGATGTGACTCGTTCTGCCAGCGACCCAAGGGTAATGCCAGCACTGCGAATGCAAGACAGACTGAAGCACCAGAGTCCTTGACAACAGCGTTAGACAGATGATGCCGCACCTCCACAGTCACACACACTGACGTCACTCTAATTAAATCATACAAAATATCCTTATTTAAAAAAGTATCTGAAAGGCAAAGGAAGAATAAAAGGTAGATATCTCTCAACTGCTGGTTCATCAAACAGCAACAGCCATGGCTAGGCTATTCACTTGTTATAAAGTCAGGCTAAAGCCAGGTGCCCAGCATCTAATCCAGGTCTCCAACATGGATGCAGAACTTGAGCCATCACAGCCACCTGGCAGAGTGACCAGAAGAGGTGGAGGCAGGGCCAGAATCAAGGCACTCTGGTGTGGGACAACGTATGTATCCCAAACGGAGTCTTAGTGCCAAGGCCAACCTCCCATAATGTCCTTATTTTTCATCAGACCAAACTTAAAATCTGTTATTCCAAGCATGGGTACGTTCATTAGTGAGAATAATATATTGGTTCTCCATTCCAAAAGCCAAAAAGTAAACATGCAAAAAAAAATGTAAGAAACACATTACTGCATGTTGCTGTGCGGTGGACAATCTGCTGCATGTGTCTCATTTGAGGAGCACACAATCTGGAGAGGGGACTATTTACCCAAGTGAGTGATGACGTGTGACACTGGCATAACAGAAAATGCTCCAATACACACAAAGTTAAGTCTCCAAAGGATGAGGTGAAGCCTTAGAGAGCAGAAGGCAAACAAAGAGTAATATTAGATAAATGATGAGTGAAATCTGAAATCCCATGAGACTTCAGCAAAGGCACAGAACTTTATTTTGAAAAGAACCAGGGGGAACTTTGACTAAAGGCAGAATGGGGTTAGGCAGACACTAGAGCATGAGGAAGGGTGCAGTGGCTGGACAAGAATTAGGGTGAGAGCAGGGTAAAAACAGGTAGAGAAGAGCCATAGACGTCAATGCTAAGAAAATGGGGGTTTATTGAAATTGCTGGGGAAAACTGCCAGTGGTGCATAAGCAGGAGAAATTCACCATCCCACGGATTTTCTCAAAGACAATTCTGATCGTCTCAGTGAGCGCATTAGATAGGAGAAAAAATACTCTGTTGAGCACTGGGCTAACACCATTTTCCTGGCTTGCTTCCCAACTGTGTTGATCCCAGACACATGCCTTTACTTTGCAAGCCAACTTCCATCTCAGAGCTTGCTTTGGGTGTTAGCACACGGCACAGTTTGAGATCCGGGTCCTTCCTGGCACATGTGGCCACTTCCGGCTGCTTCTCACTGCTGTTTGGTCCAGAGTATGGGAAAAGATTGGAGTAAGGGTTTATTTGTCCAGAAACTGTCTCAGAGGAGTCCTAGAGAAAGGTGGGCCACTTTTGAAAGACCTTGCAATGTTTCTGCTTATCCTTAAATCTGTGAAGTCCCCAAAAAAATCATTCTCCTTCCTTGCCTCCCCCAAACGATCAGCATTTAGGTTAAAAAAAAAAAAAGAATCTAGTCTAAGTTTTGTCTTCCATAGGGTGTAAATTCTTCAAAAGGCCTAACCTTGACTTTCTTCCTCTGTAGTCCCTAGTTGATTAACATAAACACCTGCCATTACTCTCTTAGACATGTGAAGAATGAAGAGACTAATAAAAGTACTACTGAATGTTTATTACACAATTCATTGTGCCAACGCTCTTTCTGCAACTTCTGCTGATTCTACACTAGATATCATGACAAAAACGAGTGAGTCCTTTTCAGCAAACAGAGCTCAATTACCTAATATCTTCAACTTTGCTTAAATCCCAGGGAGTATTTTCCATACAGTTGTTTTTTAGTTATTTCCCAACCAGTCACGCCTAACTCAATTACATCCCATAGGTTTCTTCAATTCTGAAGAATACAAACACACCCTTCAGCCCCGCGTGTGGGTCCCCACGTGTGTGGTTTTCTCCACAGAGGAGACTGGATCTTTGCCGAGAGGCCTTGAGCCAAGGCAAACCAGGCAGGCCTCCCGGCTGCTAAGGACTCTATCAAGACACGTCCTTGCTACTGTGAAGTACCTGTTAGCACAGGAGTGATTTATATAAACTGGAATGGTGAGTACCTCCACACACATAAACAGTTATCACTGCATACATAATCCCCTTATGAATTATACATTTAACAGAGATACAAAGACATGTCCATTGCATGGAAATTCTCAAAAAATCCTTCATTTCATTAACATCATAAGGGAAACTGATATTTCAGAACCCTTTTTTAAATATGAGCACATTTCAAACATGGAATGTGGCCAAGAGAGATTTGCTTAAAATAGTGACAGAAGGAAATTATGCTATCAGAATGTATTTTAAGCAATGATCTAATGGTTCAGTTCAGACAAATGGACTTTTTTTTCCCAATCCTTGAACGCAGGCAACATAATAAGAACAAATTCTTTTAAATGCAGGAATTGTTTTTTGCCACAATATCAAAATTAGATGCATTTGGAAAAAATCTTTTATACTATGCAGTATCTCTTAAAGCAAGACTTCAAAGTTAGTTAATATTACCCTTTGTCCTTTCTCATAAAAATGGTCATTCCCAGCCATGATATAAATTGATTAATGAAAAATTACTGGATAACACTGGCTCTGCATGGAGTATGAGTGAGTATTTTAAAAAAAGAAGTTCCCAAAGAAAACACACTGCCTTCAGGACATGGGCAGTAAAGCTAGACTGCTACAAAGGAGGGCAAAGTTTCTAAATTCTGCTTGGCCATCAGTCACTTACTTTACTTTCTACAATATCATGGCTAAAGAAGAGCTGTATTTTTTTAAAAGAGATTTTTGCTTATAAATACATGACAATATACCTTTCTTTCACTACATCACAATCACTGTCATAAATCCATCATCTGATGATGCAACAAAATATTAAAAATTAAAATAAATTTTAAAACTAACAGCAATTTCAAATTAACAGAAAAAACAAGATCCTCTGATTTTTAAATGTGTTTGGATTTATCAATGTCAAAACCAACCACTAGCAATATTTCAGTCTTCAGTTTTTCTTCTAGCAATACACAGTACATGAACACAATTGAATTCCGAATATTGTGTGTCAATTCTGAACATTCCTAAGAAAAGATTCCTTTTCCTTAATTTGACTAAAAATGTGTGACAGAATTACTTAAAAGCTGAATGATTACAGAGAGTTTGTGGTGCCACGCATTAACCACTGCCTGCGTGGACACTGCTTGGAGTCTTGGCTACTCCTTTCCAATCTAGTTCTTTGATAATGTGCTTGGAAAAGTGCCAGAAGCTGTGACCTAAATTCTGGGGCCTTGCCACCCACATGGGGCATCCAGATGGCGTTCCAGGCTCCTGTTTCAGGGTGGCCCCCAGCCCTAGCAGATGCAGTCACTGGAGACTGAACCAACAGATGGAAGATCTCTCTCTCTCTCTGTCCCTCCTTCTTGTTATGAAATTGTGCCTTTAAAACAAATAAATAAAACATAAAAAGCTAAATAACTGTAGCTTTAAAGCCACTTTTCTTTCTTTTTAAAGAATTATTTATTTGTCTGAAAGACAGTTACAGAGAGAGACAGAGAGATCTGTCAACTGTTGGTTCACTCCCCAAATGGTCACAACACCTGGGGCTGAGCCAACCTGACGCAAGGGAACAGGAGCAAGGAGCCTCCTCTGGTCTCCCAGGTGGGTGTCACTCCCCTCCTGAATCCATCAACAGGAAACTGGGTCTGTAGGTATCACATGGCACCATTTTACTTGCTATGCCTCAACATCAAGTTCATATTCTCCTTCTTTTCACACTGCTGCTTGAAAATGTGGTATATAACGTGTTTTTCTAAATTTAAAAAACGAGTGTATATGTTCTTTTAGGTATTTATTTAACAAACTTACAGTTCAGGTCTTACTAATCCCTGCCATAAGGAAAACCTACTCAGATATAAGATAAAAGTGTGGGGAAGACATGGTTGTAAATACTACCAAGGTCACACGATGAGTTCCAAGCATCCTTATTTGTTCATTAAAGGTTAATACACATTTAATTTTATGACAATTGCTATGGATATAAATGGTCATTCTTAAGGAGAAATTCACCTGCCATTTCTCAATCCCTAAATTGTGCACCTCCTGTACAACTAGTATAAATTTGGTAATTTGCATTTCATTCTCTTACAGAAAAAACATCCATGTGTACTTTCAAGTCATAATAACCCAAAATGTGCATCAGGGATAACAGCTTCTCTTAATACGTTCTTTAATTTACACTGCATTTCACATCGAGTGATTTAATATTAAAGTGGGAGAATACAGATGAAACAACAGAAATCAAATAAAGAACAAACTGACCTTCTTAAAGTTTTTGTTTAAGTCGATGAGACTGAGCAGGAAAATGTGGTCCTTGGCTCCCAGGATCAAACGGCCCCTCTCCTCATCCAGCAGAACCGTTTGGAAATCTAATCTTTCTGCTGAACCCAGAAAAGGAATACAGCTATTTGAGAGCAACAAGTCTGTGTACAGGAAAAGAACAAATGAAAGACACCGTTAATAGAAAAAACATTTACTAGCTTCCATATACATACTCTCCTCTTTTGTAAACACACACACACACACACACACACAGCATGAACGTTCCCAGTTAGGTATATGCAATTCAGAATAAACATAGACTCACTTAGAAATATATACAGTGGATATGTACACTTTCATATACAAGATTTAGGTATGGCTAAGAGATGTCAAACTGAATCTAAAACAAAGAAATCCAAGAACAATTAAATGTAAACTACTACACAATCTTGTGCTCATATTCTAAAATTATAGCTGGAGACACATATCTATAGCAATATTTTTAAATTGACAAAATTATTACATATATATTAAAAGTATGCATCAAACAGTGCCATACACCTTACAGCATAGCTTCTAATTTTTCTAAAGCAAACTTTCTTTCAGAGAAGTTTCAGGTCAAGAGAAAAAACGAAAAAGAAGACACAGTGATTTCCAGTATATCAGAGTCTGAGATAACCTGCATGCCTAACACAGATCCATGGAATTGATGGGATTTAGTATGCCGGAGCTACGCAGGTGGGGGCAAGGCGACATGAAACGGTAAACTAAGGCAGTGTTCAGGTAATCCAGGTGGAAGACGTCAGGCTGGACAGGTTAGTTACTACTCTGGTGAACGGACATCACTTAAAAAAAAATGCTATTGGAAATTGACAAACACCTAACTGAGCATTAAAAAAGTAAACGTGACTGTGACATCAGTACAAATGCAAGCTATGCAGAAGTTTCTTAACCACCGTGAGTCCCTAAGCCGGGGTAACGCTAACAAGAAGAGGGAGATTCTCAAGAACTCTGAGTTCCCTTTATTCATCCCTGCTTGTAGGGTGGAGAAAACAAATACACAACTGACAGTCTTGCTGCTTCCTTCACCAGAGTAAGTTCTATTTGGTTTGGTTTCAAACAAAGTTAGCAAGAAAAAACAGCTGCAAAAATATTGACTAACCTGGAGTATTATCATTTCCAAAAGATTTAATGTTGCCTTGTGACATTGCTAGCATCAAAATGATTAAAGCATGTTTCACCAGTCCTTTGGTAGCCAAACTAAATAACTGGACTTCAGCATTACACATGAACATTTCTCAGGCTGACGCACACATGAGGAAAAGATCTTGGGCCAGGGGTTGGAACAGGTTCCCTCTTCCCCAAGCAGCTTATCTTTTTTGCATTCCTGCCAAGCCAAACAAGGTTATTTTTTTCCTGCAAGGATCATCAAGCAAAACCCCAGGATAAAAATTCTCCTCTCCACAGCCTGTATCTTAACAGCTAACATCAATAGATTCCCCGGAATCAGAATGGATGCTGGTTCTGCTGGTGCTATCTCCAAAACTTTCTCTTCTCTCTCTCTCTCCTAGAACGACAATGTCAGGCACTGTTTAAGGCTTTTGCATGGCAGGAATGCTGAGTTTTTTCCTTATGGGTGGAAGGGAATGCCATGTTCTACATATGCCATTTGCAGGAGGACTGCTCTGTGCCTCACCCTGCCTCCAGGTCCTAAACGACTTCTTTCTTCTATGGACCTAAATTTTGAACGATTCTGCTATGATCACTTCTTTTCATTGTGTCGTTAGCTGATTGCTATTCCATTGCCTTGTTCTTAGTTTAAGATCACAAGACACTCAAATTCACACTTTTGGAAAAATCTATAATCTGATTTTTCCCCAGTAAATAAAGATATTATTACTTGTGTTGTTCTCTTGTTCAAATAAGGACATCACTGTTACGACAGATTTCCATGGAAAACCATTTTTGAGCCATAACCAATAAACCACTGGTGAGCAACGGGAAGACAGACTAAATCTGACACACACCTCACAGAACTCATAGTACACCACGAAGAAGACATACTCATCCATAACAAAAAAACGGAAAATGCACTTGTGGGGCAGGTGTTTTGACCTAACATTTAAGCCACTGGTAGGATGCATGGGTTCCACATTGGAGTTCCTGAGTTCATATCCACCTGCCATTCCTGACTCTAGATTTCTTCCAATGCAAACCCTGGGAGGCAGCCATGAAGTATTAAGTACTTGGGTTCCTGCCATTCACATGGGAAACCTGAGCTGGATTCCCATTTAGAGGTCTTGCCTGCGGCAGCCCTGGCTTTTACACAGCCACTAGGAAGCAAAACAGCAGATGGGAGCTCTCTTTGTTTCTCTTTCAAAAAATTAAATTAAAAAAAAAAATAAGTCCTCATGACAAAGGACAACAGTATGTATAGTAGTAAACTATTATGTAACTTCAGCAGTAAAATGAGAAAATAATTATCATAGTTCCTTCAGGAAACCTAATAACATATAACCTTCACCTTGTCATTTCTATGTATGTTTCAACAAATCAAGTGAACTCTATGGCATCAGAACCTCATGTTTAATATGAATGAAACTGAAAACAGTCAAAAATGAATTTCCAGCGTTGCTGCTCTGGTCCTGCAGGCAGATCTCTCTAACCTTGGGAAGAACACAATGACAGGATAAGCAGAGCCAAAGGAGGTCTGCCCCATCATCCCAGTGGCTCACACGTGATCAAACCCACGAGGTGCACCGTGCTGGCGTGGGCCTCACCTAACCAGACCCCTCGCAGAGGCAGGGCTGAGCGGCAAGCCTCCTCACCCTGGCCAGAGATACAGGGATGCTCGATGGGATGGCTAAGGACAAGGTCACTGCTCATCTGAAATAAACACTTGCTCTCAAAGGGATTTCCGTCTCTCCTTTTTAATGCCCATGTATACAATTGTTCATTTAGCCTGAGAGAACATTTGACCTGATGCTCTACATTCTTCCTCTTCAACCCAGAAAGGAAGGGAGTGGTTGGTTATTCATGTGGAATTTAATAAATTTCAGATTGAGCAACACAGACTTCCTCAGATTCTGACTGTTCAATGAACAAAAATCCATACCCTGTGTTGTGGACTAAGGAGTTGATTAGCATTCGTTAAACTGAGCACCTGCAGGAAATGGGCTTGAGGTTAGTGGCACCTGGTCTAATCAGACTCATTAGCATATGGCATAATAAAGGGAGGCCTGAGAGACTTCTTCCAGCATCACTGGCCTCCTGTCAGTGTTTCAAGTTACTGGCTCTGCTGGCCTGTACAACCCTGAAACCTGCATGTATTGCCACAGATCCTGAACTGGGTGGAGCTTTTAGTTTCCTAGAACACTACACAGCTCTTTAGAAAAACATAAAAACGGCTCCCTAAGCCTATCAAAGAACAACACTTAACTGGAAAAAATTGCTTTAATAATAAAATCAAGGTACTGGAAGCATAGATTCATAGACTAAAAGAAAATCTGCTTTACAGAAAGTCAAATTCCGATCTGAGATGAGAAAGTTTCCCATTAAAGAAAGAACTTGATCCAAACCCACTCACCTTTTGGTGGAATCGCAAAACAGTCAGCAATCGTTCCTGCCCCAACCGCCCACCCCTCTTCTTCCTTAGGGAAATGGCAATGACATCACTAGGGCACTGCAAGGATTGAGTAGCACCCAAGCCCCACGGCCTCTCTGTAATGCCATCCAAGAGATCTGTGTGCTTTCCCAGGTGAAAACACCCTGTTCTAACGAAGTGCCAATCAGCACAGTAAGAAGAGCCTCCTGTTTGCTCTTCTGCAATGGAATTTAAAGAGTCTACTGTCGACTTCAGTTGACAGAATAAGAAAACACAGACTAGAACAAAGTGGATGAAGCCATTGGATCCATGTTCTTTCCAGGACAAGGATACAGAGGAGGAGAACGGGAATATTATACCTTCATTCTTCCATTCATATTCACATAGTCAAATCGCATATTTATTCTATTTGGCTATTTTCAATAATAGTTGTTTAAATAATTGATCACATGTAAGATTCAAAATGTGCAAGTCCTTTAAAAACTCATGCTTTCATAAAGCGTTGCTTTTTAAACTCTCAAAAGTTTTGCTCTTTTTGATTTTGTTTTTTTTTTGACCTACTGAGAAGGTTAACACTAGAAACGACTCAAACATTTCCTAAAGAGTAATGTCGTAAAACAGCTAACTTCCTTAGAAGCAGCCAACAGAATCATCTAAGACTACCTTGCTTTGGTGACTATTCTTTGTTATGATGGTACTGTACAGCACTGCCGCACTTCTCCTTTTTTTTTTTAAGAATATATTTTATTTCTTGGAAAATCAGAGTTGCAAAAAGAAAGGCACAGACAAAGTGCTTTTCCATTTACTGGTTTACTCCCCAGTGGCCACAATGGTCAGAGCTGGAGCAGACCTCCATCCCGATGTTCCACGTGGGTGTCAGGGGCGCAACTCTTTGCTTCTTTCCCAGCTGTGTGAGCAGGGAGCCGGATCACAAGCAGAGCAGTTGGAAGTTGACCTTGCATTTTGACATGTGCTAATGCTGCTGATGAAGGTGTTTTAGGCTACTGTGCCATAACCTGACATACATTACAATGCTCACTTCTTAAACCCCTTCAAGGCACTTGGAATTTCTCCATTTTCAAATGTCAAAGAATGTTTAAAACAGAAACATTATACCACAAATATATGATGACACTGATTTGTGTCAATCACGTTTGAGAATTGAACTTATTAAAATTTCAGAATGTAGATACCAGCATGGTAGTGCAGTAGGTTAAGTTTTCACATAAGATGTAGGTATACCACATGGCATGGGTTCAAGTCCTTGCTGTTCCGCTTCGGATCCAGCTCCCTGCCAAACTACCTAGGAAAGCCACTGAAAAATGGCGCAAGTCTTTGGGTCCCTACATCCATGTGGGAGACTCCCAAGAGAGTCCAGGGTTTTGGGTTTGGGACTGGTCAAGCTATGGCCACCACTGCCTGTTGCGGAGTGATTTTAACAGATAGAAGAACTTCCATCTCTGTAAATATGCTTTGAGGAATGTTATAGCTTAAAACAAGATCCACTATTGACCCTAAACAGTAAGATGAGAGCAAATAAGTCCTCAAGATCACTGT